GTCCACAAATCAGAAGGTTGGCAGCTCAATCCCTGGCTCCCCCAGCTGCATGTCCTTGAGCAAGACACTGCTCCCAATGCTGGGCCAGCGCTGTAAGAATGTGTGTGAATGAATTAGTTTCCATTTCTGATGAGCAGTTGGCACCTTGCATGGCTGCCTCTAGTGTAAGAATGTGTGTAAATGGATGAATGTGACATGTAGTGTAAAGTACGTTGAGCGGGCGGTAGACTAGAAAGGTGCTATATAAGTGCAGTGCATTTACCATTTACCATGCAGAACTGAGTGCAATAGCACTGAAGATCTCCGAGCAGACCGTGTCCTAAGGAGTCCTTCATTTGTTTGATTCATCAAGTCAAGACCATGAAACCATGCAAAGAGTTCTTGGAGAGAGACTGGGGGCGGCAGAGGGGTGAATCCAGAGAAAGACTGATGGCAGGCCTTTTGAATGCGGCAGTTCAGAACAGTAGTGACCACCTTTGCCTTTAAACACAGTCAGATGACATGTGAACTAGTTGTTTCGGGAATACTGACAGTGAATGTACTTTTGGCTAACTAGAGCCCTGTAAATTCTTTAACTACCAGTGTTGTAATGACACTCACAGACTGGTGTTGGCTGCCTTGACTTTGTCCTCCATTAGCTTGTACCCATGGCATTTTTTATTGATTCCTGTCTCCCTGCTGTTCCTGCTCAATTCGGCACTGCATTAGACCAGGTAGAACTTTCAAGGTTTACTGGTACAAGATAAAGTAGATAGCACTTTTCATTTACCCACTATCAGCTGGCCCTGGTTGAGAAAACACTGCCAAACACATCCAGATTGTACGGAGCCCCCCTGGTGACATTGGATTAAAAAAAAAATGTGTGGCCACGCATTAATTATCTCGTGGCCACAATTATTGCAGTCATTTCCATGCAGAGACTGTTGATTGTTAACATGGACAAGTTTGAAATTAATTTCATATTATTTTAATATAGATGAATTACAACACAACACAAAACAACATACACACACACACACACAAAAATGAGACTGATTTGCGGACTTCATATCTTCTTCGCGGGGTTTGCAGCTTTCCGATGACGTCACTTCATAACGTTCCCATGGCAACAGGAGTAAAATTGGCTGCTCTTGTGTGAAGTAAACGCAACATTTTTCAACTTTCTGCGAAGATATATGTGACTTTTTTGCAACGAAAATGCAGGGATTATGAAATCATGCAAGCCCCGCATATTTCGCGCATTTTGCGCGGAAATCGGCGATTTATGCGGCAGGCCGAAAGTGCGGCGTCTTTGAAAAAATGCGGCGCGCATAAATGTGCAGACTTTGGCTGATTATGCGTTGAATTATGCGATCGCATAATCGCGTTTTTCTGAGGGACTGCATTTAACATTACCAACAGTGACATGTCCGCTTCACTTAAGACGTAAGCTCATCCAGCCAATCATACCATTATTATTGACATTACACTCACCATGACAATAATAAAGCTACTCTTGAATACAAAAGCAGACTATAATTACATTTATTCATGATATTAATAACAGCATCACTACAGCTTCATATGGATAACCATTTCCGCTATACTGAAAGGTGAATTATCTCGTGGCCACGATAATAAAAATAAAAAAAATGCGTGGCCACGCATTACTATCTCATGGCCACGAGATAATAAGGCGTGGCCACGAGATAGTAATGCGTGGCCACGCATTTTTTAAATTTTTTTATCCAATGTCACCAGGGGTCTCCGACTAAATCCATTTTTGTTTGACTGCACTTTATTCATTCAAAGTGTGCATGTGTGACCACGTGTTTATGCAATGTGATTGACAGGTGTTGAGGGGCTTCTTCCCAGCATCAGCTTTCGTTTAAGAGCAGTGTAATATTGTCAACACATATGCAGACGCTCTCATGCACACAGTGTCAGGTTGGTCCAGCTGTGAGCCAGGCAGTGTCTCTATTTTCAGCAGTGTGGGATCAGGCCTCAATAGTGTCAACAGGTGGACAAGCTAACCAACAGCATGACCTTCAGTTGCCTCTTCTCCTTCCTTCTTTACACTGTCACT